CAAAAAGGTTATGACTGGCTGAAGAAAAATGGGATGCCAATCGCTGTGAACAAACTAGCACCCATCTCTGAGGTATGCAATAACATATATTTTTCCTAGTACTGATTAATTGCATTAAGTGCGATTAAACCACACACACAAATGTTTTCACAACTCATAAGCAAAAACATTATTCATCACATGCACTTTATTTATATAAGTTCATGTATTTGTTACAGGTGGAGGAAAATGTTTCAAGTGCTGCTGACTGTTGACTTGTCTGATGACAGCACTTAGTCCACCTAGTTATAGTGTGGATGGCCATTAAACATTTCTGATCGTGTCAATGAGATCAGTGCTTGGAGAATGACGTTTAAACAGAGTTTCAATGGGTAGCTAATTTCTCTGACCTATACATTTTGCACTTTGCATTTTTTCTGTATGAAATTGCCTAAACCTTGGGCACCATCCTTTGCACATATTCATAATCATTCAGAGTGCTGTGAATACAGTAAATGTTTAAGATATGTTACTGGATGTCAAAATACAATATGCATAGCAGGATGGCATTAACAATGTTCATTTCTGTGTATCTGAGAAATATTTTTATGTATTTTAAGATGTGTTCACCATGTGTTTTGACCTATAAATACCATTTCAGCATTGTGGCATTTTGATCCTAAATGCATCATTTAAATGGGGTCAAATATCCCCCTCCCAAATAAAAATAAATAAATAAAATAAATGAAAAACAATGTGTGGTAAATAAATGTCTCTGATTCATCATGAATGATATTTCAGGAAAATATATTTGTGTGCTATTGTTGTCATTATTTAATAATAAATAAATAATTACACTATTTACACTAAACATGAAAATTGTATAGCCCTTTATACAGTCGTTTGGCATTAAAGGGGTCATATGATGCTGCTAAAAAGAACATTATTTTGTGTATTTGGTGTAATGAAATGTGTTTATGCGGTTTAAGGTTAAAAAAACACATGTGTTTCCACATACTGTACATTGTACTGATTAATTGCATTAAGTGCGATTAAACCACACACACAAATGTTTTCACAACTCATAAGCAAAAACATTATTCATCACATGCACTTTATTTATATAAGTTCATGTATTTGTTACAGGTGGAGGAAAATGTTTCAAGTGCTGCTGAACCACCAGCACTGAAGACTGTTGACTTGTCTGATGACAGCACTTAGTCCACCTAGTTATAGTGTGGATGGCCATTAAACATTTCTGATCGTGTCAATGAGATCAGTGCTTGGAGAATGATGTTTAAACAGAGTTTCAATGGGTAGCTAATTTCTCTGACCTATACATTTTGCACTTTGCAGTTTTTCTGTATGAAATTGCCTAAACCCTGGGCACCATCCTTTGCACATATTCATAATCATTCAGAGTGCTGTGAATACAGTAAATGTTTAAGATATGTTACTGGATGTCAAAATACAATATGCATAGCAGGATGGCATTAACAATGTTCATTTCTGTCTATCTGAGAAATATTTTTATGTATTTTAAGATGTGTTCACCATGTGTTTTGACCTATAAATACCATTTCAGCATTGTGGCATTTTGATCCTAAATGCATAATTTAAATGGGGTCAAATATCCCCATATTTCAGGATTTGTGTGCTATTGTTGTCATTATTTAATAATAAATAAATAATTACACTATTTACACTATACACTAAACTTGTATAGCCCTTTATACAGTCGTTTGGCATTAAAGGGGTCATATGATGCTGCTAAAAAGAACATTATTTTGTGTATTTGGTGTAATGAAATGTGTTTATGCGGTTTAAGGTTAAAAAAACACATGTGTTTCCACATACTGTACATTATTGTTTCTCCTCTATGCCCCGCCTTTCTGAAACGCGTCGATTTTTACAAAGCTCATCGGTCTGCCAGCTATCGTGATTGGCCGAATACCTCAAGCGTGTGACGGAAATGTTACGCCCCTTACCATATTGTGAATATTGTGAT